ATTTATATATAAATATACATAAACATGACATGCTTGAATAGCTAACTAATTAACCAATTAATTTGATTGTTTAGGACATGTAAAAGTAAGTATAATTAATTATATTTTTTATTTTTTATTTTCGAGAAATTAACTTCATTTTTTTTTCTTTGGGGGAAATAGCATATAAATGGGTTGCCTGTATTTATTATTCATGCTCATAAAGATTTGGATATTCCATTATCGAATTCACGAGAATTATTTAATCAAATCGTTGCATCACGACAACGACAAAACAATCATATTGAACATACATTCACAAATTTTGCACGCGAAGGAATTTTGTATATGCAAACTGATTTGAAAACATGGTACCTACAACCATTTTATGCGGCTCATAACAATGCACATGGTTGGGAATTTGTTAGTGAACAGGTTAAAGATTTCTTGGAATTAAATTGTGAATTCAAATTTACTACAACTAACAAGAGCAACATAAAAAGCAGAATCAGCAGTAGTAGCAGCAGCAGCAGCAGCAGTAACGACAACAACAACAACAGCAGCAGCAGCAGCAAAACGCCCTTACCTATACCACCAGCTATGAGTGCTAGTAGCAGTAATAATGGTGGTAATGGAGATCATGAAAAGAGAGATGCTTGGGAACTTATCGATTAAAATAATATAATATGGAGAATATTTTTAATTTTAATTATTTTTATTTAGAGAAAGAATTGTGGATAAAAATATTATTCACTTTTATTACCATACTCACATTTTTGTTTTAAATGCATCATAATCATCAACAACATCATTCCCATTTCTTTATTATTAAATAATTAATTATATTATCCTTTTTGATCATATGTACTATATATTATTCTATATATATTATTATATTATATTTTTTTTTTTGGTTTTAAATAAATAATCATTACTATTGGTCGGCTGATTGACTGACTGATTGTTGATTGATTAAAATCCTTTTTCCCAGTTAGGTTTACGTCTTTTCTTGAGATTATTATAATATTTTTTACCGCCACTTTGCTTGGACTATAATTGTAATATGGATGGATATACATATAATAACCAATCGCATTCATACATACATACACAAATATAAATAACATAAATACCTCTTGAATTTCCAAAAATTTACGTTTATAATATTTTTTGGCTTGATCATCAGCCAACAATTCATCCACGATTGTTTGTTTCCTTTCTTTACGTGGCAACCGGGATGAATAAAATTCTGTTGGTCCCTCAATTATTGTACCTATCTTATATAAATATATATATATATACACAATATTATTAATCAATCAATAAAATGTAATGAATGTAAATAGATTAAATAGATTGATTACTTGAAAATATTTTGGAAATTTTTTTGAATTATCTTTTTTGTAAAATCGTTTAGGATCAAGAACATTTCGAAGTTTAAGAACCTGTAAATCATTTTTAATTTCTGGTGTTATTTCTGGTTTAGGCATATCAAACCAACCAGGTCCTGCTGTTGATTCACGAAGCTATTAAATAATTAATTTTGTCCAGGGAAATAATTTAATATAAATGATTTCATAAATTAAAAAAGAAAAATGAATAGTTCTTGTATTTTTAATTTTTGAATCAGTGTAACTATGACTATTTATTTAAAGCTAACATTGCAGATTGAACTCAAAAACAGAATTCAATATAACTGCTCTAGATTGATTTATATATAAATCTATATTTTTTAAAAAAAATTTCATCATTTCCAAATAAATCTTTTTTCTTGAAATAAAAATAATAATAACTTACTTTTTTCTTTTCTTTTCTACTTAATTTCTTTGGTTCCTCTTCTATTTTATAAGAAGCCATCATTAATTTTTGGATTTTAAAAAAAAATTTTTTTTTTTAATCAAGAAAGGGTTACACAAATTCAGAGTTCCATTTTTGGAGAATGTCAGTGAACGGGGCGCAGCGTCTGATTGACAGATTTATATAGGATATAGGGCAAAAAAAAAAAAGTTTTTTTAATAATAACAATAAATAATCGAGAGTTCGCCCGCCGTCTTGAAAGCTAGTGATTTGACATTGAAATATAATATAATAATATTCAAGCAATGACTAGATACGGAGATATTAATCGTGATCCTTGGTAATGATAATATAAAAGTATATTTACAATTATTATTTTAGAATTTGCTTTGAAGAATGAAAAATATTAAATTGATTTATAAAATTTATAGTCCATGGGTAATATTAAACGATACAGGGGGTGCCTTTGCTATGGGAGCTATTGGTGGTGGTATATGGCATTTTGTAAAAGGGGCAAAAAACTCCCCAAGGGTATGTGAAAAGATTTGATCTGAAAAGATTAGATTCTAATAATCATCATTATTAAATTGTAATATAACAATTAAATTTGATTAGGGAGAACGCGTTATTGGAGCAATAACAGCAGTTAAAGCACGTTCACCGATATTAGGAGGAAATTTTGCAGTATGGGGAGGATTGTTTTCAACGTTTGATTGTGCATTAAAAGGAATAAGACAAAAAGAAGATCCATGGAATTTAATTGCCAGTGGTTTTTTAACTGGAGGTGTACTAGCAGCAAGAGGTTCTTATTTCATATAACCATCAATAGATCGAATGTTTAGTTGATTTCTGTGATTATTATTATTATTACTGATAAATTGATGACTTTTGAATATTTTTTACATAATAACAATAATAACGACGATTATTATTGGAATAGGTGGTGTTGCAGTAGCAACTAGATCTGCTATTTTTGGTGCTTGTGCTTTAGCGTTAATTGAAGGTGTTACTATTGCGATATCTCGTTATACAGCACCACCGCCAATGATTCAAGCATAGAGGACGCGCGCGCGCGCGCGCGTGTGTGTGTGTGTGTGTATGATAATGTTTTTGTGTGAGAGTGTTTACTTCGTAATAATTATAATAATTATGATTAATCAAAGTTATTTATTATTATTTTGTTTATTGATTAACATTAGCATTAATAATTTAATAAAATTATTTTTATTTTATTTTAGATGTTTGTGGGTGTGTAGTATATGCGTGTAAAATCAGCTTCAAAGATTTGAAGAAATAAATTTATAATAAAAAAAAAAAAACAATAACTTTATTAAGAATGGATCATACAAAATTATATTATAGGCATTATATTATATATTTTCTTCTACCATTACTTTTTATTCTTTCAAACCTTAATCCGTTAAATATTCCAGTCGTTTATTGTTTTTCATTCTATTATACAAATAAATTTTATTTGCTTACTTTTTCTCAACCAAAATATCTTGATTAATGATTTTTTAATTGTTAAATTCCAATTTTAGAACTTTTACCACACTTAATTCCCATCTTATATCCAATCCATCTTCTTTAATGTAAAATAAAAAGTACGAGACCAATTATATGAATTTTTTGTATATGCAAATGAAATTGATAAAGAATTGAATTATTTGACAAATCAATTAGTTACGCACGCTTTGAATGTTAAATAAAGTTCGATGCAATATAAAAGTGGTAAATATCCATGATAATCGTGCGTTCGATCGTACATATTTCTTAATTATTTCTTTGCTGCAGGAAAAAAGAAAGTGTGGATTTACATTTTATTTCCCTCTCAAAAATTAACAAATGATCTTCAATAAAATTAATTTTAATCATATTAATATTTGATTGAATAAATAAATAATTCATTCTTTACAAATCTCTTACATTCCATACATTCTCTACAATTTACCCTGATTTAATTTAATCAGTCTCTTTATTTAATGAAAATCGAGCTTATTTGTGCTGTGGTTTTATCGGTTCTTCAACTATTGAAGCAACTGAAAATGATACTGGTTGTATAGCGTATAAAATGCAGCTCTCCAAATTATACTGACCATAAAAACGTTATAATTATTTTTAAAAATCTAGTGGTTCTATTCATCGATTATCTGGTTAACCGTTGTTGAAAAATAAAAATTTTTACCCACGTAATTGAATGAAAATTGTTTAATACTGTTTTATCCATTTTCTTTCTATTATAATAATATGTCAAGCAATATGAGTGTCATTATTAGCTAAAAATATTTATGCATTGCAGAAACTTCTACACCAAATGAGCGTCTACAGTCAAACCTTGTGGTAGCGGATTATAATTAAATTCTTGTCGTAACGGATTTTTGATTTTTTTTTTTGTTTTACATTATAATTAATAAAACCATATAAAAATCCGTTGTGGAGAGATCGGTAATAGTAATAGTAATCTTGCTGCAACGGATTTTAAATAAAATTTTTCGTTCAAGGTTTGACTGTATTCAATGAAGCTGGAAACACAATGACAGCCAAACGAACAAAATTGAATCCATTGCTACTTGAAAGATTAAATTTATTGTTATAATTTTTAAATAAATTTAAATATTATTCAACGGATATTCGGTGAATGACCGATTATCCGGATAATCAACAGATACAACCATTATAAAAATCTTAAAAAGTAAAAGCTAATAATTTTATTATTTTTTGTAAAGATGAAAAGTTTACCAGCAAGATGTTTGTGCAAATCATCAGTATACAAATTGCACCAAAACTTTCCAGAAAATAAAAAAAAAGACCGAAGGCGAATTCTTTAAATCACCACTTTGTTTCGAAACTAAACCAACCAAAAAAGTATCTTATAGAAAGAAAAGTATGAATAAACAATTCCAATAGTGATGTAGTGACGAAGAACATTAAATTAAACTTGGAAAATAATTTCTTAATCTATTAGATTATATACAATATTATACATACAATGGAGTTCGTTGGTAATTAATTATATAATAAATAATAATTTCTTTCTAAAAGTTTTTACGTATTTGAATTCGCACATACTGTATTATTTTGTTTGTGATTGGCTAAGAATAGAATTATAAGAAGTAAAAGGTGTTTAGCTAGCCAATGGTGGATTGTGTGAAATATCTGGTCGTATGTTTTCATTTGTTGCCATATTTGTTGTAATAAAATAAATATTTTCAGAGGCATTGATATCTCTATTTCAGGCTGTGTCGTAATTTTTGAATTCGAGCATAGAATGCTAAGGACTGTCAAGCCTTCCATCAATCTTTTCTTGAAAATGTTTCAAATGTCATCATGTTACATTTTGAACAAGCTTTGGAAGCTCTAAACGCTGGGGTTTTCAAAAGCCTAGATGTTCTAGATGGCAAAATTCCTTATAAAGACTTCTACACACACATGTCTGTTTTCAAACATTAAACATTACATCAATTATTTTTTTAGTTTTTGGTGACGCAAGTCTCCATTTTTTTTGGCTGGTGGTAATTGTATCAGAGACAGTACTAATAAAATACCTTTTACTTTTTGCTATATCTCATCTACATAAAATTTCTTGGCACGATTAAATTTCTATAAAATGGTTTTTCGTGAACCTCTAAAATTTATTACAGTATAACGGATATTTAACTAGTACAAATTTAGAAACTATCTGCAAAAAATTGAATTTGATTGGATATTTATTTGCAGATAATTTCTAAATTTGTACCAGTTAAATATCCATTATACAAGACTCAATGTGCAACATTCCATACCTTCTCATTTAGTATCAAGTCTTTTAAAGCGATATTGAGAAATCATCTGAGCTTTGAAATGAAAAAGTAATACAGTTTTTGAGTAGCCGTGAATTCATGTGAGAAAACCTTTCAGTATGAAAAGGTATTCATTAGAAAGCTTTAATGGAGTACTTTCATTTTACTCTAACAACGAAATTCGAGTTTATTATAAAAATAACGAGATATTTATATTTTAAAAAAGTTTCATGTGACACGAATTTCAAAATTTTAATTTACATATTAATATAGAAAATGTCACGCGACTAATACACTGTGACATATAGGCTAAAGGGTCGTTTAGATAATTCTAGGGCATTGGGCATAGTAATTTGATAGCCACCCACAAAAACTTTCTATTACTATATAGAAGTATGTGTGAGGGATAGCACAGCATTTCTTTTGACTGATCCGTTAAGTATGCATAATTTAAAATGAAAAAATATAAATACATTAAAAAAATTTTATTCGTTTTGGTAACAATGCTACAACAAATCATTAACTTCTTTACTATAGTTATTACTAACTATCTCTTGCTTGAATGCTGATGAATGATAATTCAACATTATATTATTATTATAATTATTATTAAATAAATAATTTTTTGGTTATGATTCAAGACAAAATAATAAAGCAAAAAAGGAGATAAAAAAAGGTAAATAAAAAGGTTTATTAAATATATAAAAAAACAATAATCTTACGAAAAATTTATTAATATTCAATAATAATTGTATTAATTGTATTAATTAATTAACTAATAAAAAAATTAATCAATTAAAATTTATTTGTGATGATGATAATAGCATTGGAAACATCAGAAAAAAAAAAGTTTTTTCATGATGATTTTGTAGATCGTCTTTTTTCTAGGCAACATAAGAAAACATATCTTTCTGACCCTCGACACGTTCTATATATTCTTTCTCTAATAAAACGTCAATGCATTTCTTTATATCTGGAACTTTTGGTTTGAAGCGATTTGACAATTGAGAAATTACTTCTTGAACCAAAGCTACATGTTTCATTGTTTTACGTGTTTTCATTATACGCACAATAGCAGCCTATTTTTATTTACCGGGAAAAAAACAAGTCGATTAATTAATAAAAATCTATAACATCAATTATGTCCCAACTCCTTCCTAAATAATTGCACAAACCTGCATCAACAATTTTCTATCTTCTTCAACCGTCTTATGAGTTTCTTCTACTTCAACTTTTTGTTCAGATTTAACTGGTATATTTAATTGAACACGAATTTTCTTACTACGAGAATTAAGTCATTTATTATTATTAACATTATCAATAATCTCAATCTTAACCACTAAAATATTAATATACATAAAGATACCTCTTGAATTCCATATTCAACTCATAACGAGATCCTGCCTCACCAACTGAACCCTGATTTAATGAAAGAACTTTGGCTTTTACCAAAATACCCAATTGTCCTGATAATACATCTGTACTTAAATCCGTGCTCTGGCTCAATTCTTCAAATGAATAAGATGTATCTTTATTGTATTGCAAAAGAATACCCATCTGGTATGTAGATACCTTTTAGAAATTTAGAAATACATTAATATATATAAATATATTATTTTTGTGTTGAAATAACATACGACTTCTAACTTTAATTAATTAAAAATATTCAAAAAACCTGAAAAGTATATCCCGTTTTTGTTGCTTTCAAGTAGTTAGCTTTTAATTCACCTTTTGAAAGATGGAAAAGCCAATTCAATTTACGACCTGAATGTTTATTTTGATAGAAAATCTTGAATCGTTGAAATGTTCTTTCAACCTTTATTTTTAAAATAAATAATTTTATTAAAGAAGAATTATGAATAAATTTGCAATCATTTATTATAAATCTATAATTATAATTTTATATTATAGATACCTCTTCTGGGATACTAAAATTTGTTGTGGAGGGCTGAAGTGGCCAAGATGCAGTACCCAATACTAAAACCGAAAAGTCGACTGTTTATAAATTATTTTTTAAAAAAATCAATCAATTAACATATATTTTGTTGAGTCGTTCAACTCCTGAATAAATTGAACATCCTGATGTTATTACTATTACTAACTACTATTACAACTATTACAACTATTATTATTATTAATTGAAAATTTGACTTCTTTCCATTACAAATATCCTTCATCATTGATCGTTATTATTAATGATCCATTCAAAGATATATTGATTTACCTTGATTATCTACTTGTTCTACTGAATGTCTTTCTCTAAATTGATCGTTAAGGTCCTTACTTAAACCCATATCAGTAAACATACGTTGTAATTTTGAAGTATATTCGAACCCGCATGCTTCCTATTAATTAATAAAAATTATTATATCCTTCAAAAAAATTTTTTTTTGTTGATAGGAAGAACTTACTTTTAATTTTGAAATCATACTTGATTCTGCATCTTCAGATGCTGATGTACCATTTACAAGGCGTTTCGCTAACATCTTCGAATAAAATTTTTGAAATACATCTTTATCTTCAACATATTTAAAAACTGTCATCTAAAATTACATGTTAAGAATTATTAGTGTTAATATAAACAAATAATATTGAATTATTACTATAATATACATATACATCTTGTAGATATACATACAATATTATTTAATATATCTTCGAGATCACCTTCTTCAGGATTTTTTGCACTTTTTCGAAGAAGCGAATCACAAAATCTAGCCAATAATTCTGGCGATTTGGATGTTGAAGATTTACAAACTTTATTCCTGTTTACAAATTCTCGACACGCCTATACACATTTGTTTTTGCAAATATAAATATATGCGAGTAATATGAAATATAATTAAGTCATATATATTATATTTTATTACCTTATCCAATGAAGCTACAAAACTTGCTTCGCCCCTAAAGGCAGTTGTGACCATATCATTATATTTTCTATGTACCTCTAATAAGGCATCAACATAAGTTTTTGGTTCCTAATTTGATATTTTATGATTATTATCATCATTGTAGCCATTATCAAGAATAATTCTCCATTAAATAAAATAATGAAATTACTTATTATTACCAAAGCATCATTAACAGCATCTGCGATTTTTTCAATTGCATTTAAACCAGCCTTATGAACATGTTCTTCAAAATGTTTACGGAGAGGTTCCAATCCCTCTTGAATACGTGATAAGAGAGAATACATTCGGTGTAAATCTATATATAATTTAT